GGGTAAGATTCGGGGTAAATGATCGGTACCCTGTTAAGCTGTTTATGCAGATTCGGGGGTAATTGTTCGTAATAATATTGAAGGAGGTTTTATTCAGAGGTAATTGGTTAATTTTGTTGGGCAAGATTCAGAGGTAAGTGATCGGAATAATATTGAAGGAGGTTTTATTCAGGGGTAATTGGTTAACTTTGTTGGGCAAGATTCGGGGTAAATGATTGTGGTAACCTATGATTTAAGCTATTTATGGAAAGTGTCACGATACACCCCTTTTGCTATCTACTCATATGTTAATTTGTCTGATCGGAAAGCTGCATGGCTTACCTGCGCAACGTCGTCAGGCTGCAGAATGCTGCCGAAGCCAAAAGTGAACGCCATGATGGGTAACATGAAGAACAAGATGAGCTTCAGGAAGTTCCAGGACACGAGGTGCAGCATCGCGACGTAGACGTCGAACAACGGCAAGCGGCCGAACGCTAGCAGCGCAATATAACTGGAATTTAGAAACAAAAAATTGCATAAAATTGTAAAATATCTTGGAGAATAAAGCGTTTCGGTATCAAGCTCCATCATCAGTTTGACACTCCTAAAATGCAAATCCAATCAATCGGTGAACGATGGTACAAAATGCTGAGAATAAAACCTAAATTAATAAATAAACGACAAATCAATTTAAAAAATAACCGCATGCATATATGCCTATCTAAAGTTCGTAAGTCAGGAAGACGGGGTGTAGCAGCTGAAATTCTAAAGTCGCTATCGGATATCGGGCACCGCACTGCTCGGCATGAACTCGTACCGCTGAATAGCTGTTATACAAACTTGATATCGGTTTACTGAATTGATATCTGCTGATCGAATGATTTACTTGATCCCCAGGCTTGAAACCTGTTGATCGAACGACTAACCTGTTACCCACGCTTAATACCTGTTGATCGGACTATGAACCTGTTACCCACTCTTAATGCCTGTTAATCGGACAATGAACCTGTTACCCACGCTTAATACCTGTTGATCGGACTAATAATCGGTTACCCCCGCTAAATACCTCTTAATCGAACGACTAACCTGTTACCCACGCTTAATACCTGTTGATCGGACTAATAACCTGTTACCCACGCTTAATACCTGTTGATCGGACTAATAATCTGTTACCCCCGCTAAATACCTCTTAATCGAACGACTAACCTGTTACCCACGCTTAATACCTGTTGATCGGACTAATAACCTGTTACCCACGCNCTGTCTCTTATACACATCTAGATGTGTATAAGAGACAGCTCTTAATGCCTGTTAATCGGACAATGAACCTGTTACCCACGCTTAATACCTGTTGATCGGACTAATAATCGGTTACCCCCGCTAAATACCTCTTAATCGAACGACTAACCTGTTACCCACGCTTAATACCTGTTGATCGGACTAATAACCTGTTACCCACGCTTAATACCTATTAATCGAACGACTAACCTGTTACCCACGCTTCACCCTTTGTTCTCCGACTGTAACCCTCATCATGTACGAGCAGCAGAGACTGCCGTTAATCAATAAGGGGACCATGTCGGTCAAAATCTATTTTCTATATTTAGGGCAGGATCATTTCCAAACTTGGTACACATATGTAAAATCGAAAATGACGACTATTTTGTTCATGTAAATTTTTCGAAAAAAATGAAAGAAAACGTGAAATTCGTTGAAAACGGCCAAGAAGGGGGTACTCTAAAAAGTTGATAACTGTTGCAAATCACATGCTACAACATCGAGACACGTATCATTCGATGCGTAAAGACTAATTCTAGCGATTCTCGTGCCACTTTTTTAATTTTTTCCTTGGTTCTCTTGTTATGATGATTTTTTCCGAAAAAATTCGAATTTTCGAAAAATTTTGGAATTTTTCCCCCTTTTTTCAAAAAATTTTCAAAACTGAAACAAAATCGAAAAAAATGGCTGGAGAATCGCTAGATATTTTAATTTTGAATTTAATGGTATATGTCTCATTGCTGTAGCTTCAAAACTCCAAGAGTTATTAACTTTGCCGTGACAAAAAGTGTGAATGTTCAGTACAGCCCAACAAAGTGCCGCGCGCATCCGAATAGCCAGCCACTCAATGTAGCAAGGATACAAAATTAAACGTTACTGAAGCTTGTACCAGTCAATTATGGTGGAAGCGATTACATGCACACCTCCCCAGTCAACGACAGGAGGGTGACTAAGCTTCACTCCGAGTAGAGACTTATTTATAGGCTGGGCAGCGAATTTCCTCCAGTCTTCTTCTTCTTAAATCAAAGTTTATGGGAGCCTCTGAAGACTAGTTCAATGCGGCCCCATGACAGGACGGTTCAAGGAAATTACGGTATTTTATCTTTAGCTACAAATTTAGGTGCTCTGAAGAGTTGTCAATGTTTCTTGACGGCTGAATGACTACAGAATGGGGCCGCCAAAGTGGAGACCACACCGGGGCAGAGAGTCCCACGCCAGGGCAGAGAGTCCCACTCCAGGGCAGAGAGTCCCAGGCCAGGGCAGAGAGTCCCACGCCAGGGCAGAGAGTCCCACTCCAGGGCAGAGAGTCCCACGCCAGGGCAGAGAGTCCCACTCCAGGGCAGAGAGTCCCACTCCAGGGCAGAGAGTCCCACTCCAGGGCAGAGAGTCCCACTCCAGGGNCAGCTTCATCATCAGTACAAAGAGTTTAGGTTTTTATGTACATAATTTTAAAGTTCTCCTATCGTTTTTGGGTTTTCATCTTTTCCGCGCATTTTTTGATTTTCAATTCTGATAGTCTTTATTTATCTTATTCCATTTTAATTCTATACTGTTGATTCAACTAAAGATGGAGCTGGTCTCCGAAATGTTTTCGTAGGGGCAATGGTGAAATTCCTTGGCGTTTCTTTGCTCTTACATTTTTGGTCAAATTGAATTAATGAAGCTCACCATACGGCGATGTGCACCCAGGCCTCGATGTGTCGAGTAGCGGTCGCCGACATTGGTACCAAGCAGACCACCAGCGATACGATGATCAAAAACCATTCCAAGTAGTTCTCTATACACCGAATGTAACTTTTACACCTGAACGCGATCAGGAAAAGTTCCTTAACCATCATGAAGACTGTGATTATGAGGACAAGATGCTTGATGACAGTGAGGGCACTTTGATACTGCAGAATTTCTTCCTCCAGAAGCTGGGTTTCTGTGGAGTTGCTTGACGAAGCCAAGTTTTCAAGCAAACGTAAGGTTAGCCTGTCCACTTCAGAAATGGTTACCATGAATATCGTCAATAACAATGAAAAAAGCAAAATGTGAATAAAATTCAGGTTGAACAATGTGATTATGAATACGTTCGCCCATTTGGCGTAAATGAGAGTTTGTATGAGTGGATGTTTGATGCAGTTGCGATGTTCGTGGCTTTGACTGATGTCGTATAGCAGCGAAACTTCGTTCTCGAGCTGCTGAACTTCAGTGGGCTGGTTGTGGGTGGGGCTCATTAGGAACTGGTAGTTCATCTCAAGAGTGTAATTGAGATCCAGTGTATCTTCTTCAAGAATCCTATCCTTCCGCTCGGGATCCAATGTATCATTTTTTTCAATGGTTTGGGAAGGAACCTTGATGCAATTATCCATGGTTTCCTCGAGTGTCTTGGCGATTAAAGCATTAAGAACTGTTCCATTGTCTTGCTCGCCGATCATTTGATGCTCGCCGAGAAACGCTCCATGTTCAAGAAGAATCGTCATGGCGTCTTGGTTGTTCATTTTACCGGCAATGTGGAGAGCCGTTTGTTTCATGTCGGTTCCTTCTTCTTTTTGACTAACATCTATTAAAACGTCGTCTTCAAACAATCGGTTCAGGCATTTATATTTATTTGGATTATAGGATTTCGTGGCAGTTTTATCAACATCTCTGCTATTTTTCAGCGCTTTTTGCAGTAGAGAAAAACTTTTGTGCCGCAGGTCAATGCGATTACTATTTTTCTTCTTTTTCATCTCATTTATGAGGAGGTTCACGATAGCCAAGTGCCCACTAGCCAGTGCACTGTGGAGGGCAAGCTCGCCGTTCATGTTGGTGGACCAAGGGTCGGCCCCAGCCTGAAGTAGCGCCCTCACTCCCGTCTCGCTGCAGCGGTCAACAAGGTAACATAAGACTTTCTTCGACCCGAGGTAGCAGTTGGCCGCCGCACGAACTTCCTGCGAGGCACTCACCCCACTAAACAAGTCAGCAATTCCTTCAGATTGGTTGTCTATAAGTAGGTTGAGAAGTTTTGCAGTCGCGGTTTGAGGCTGTAGCAAAGTTGTGGCCTCATCCGGACTGTTCGGAAGGCCATCCTCAACTAAAATTGATCGTGTGTGTTCGTCGATATTTGCTCCTTTCTTCACCAGCTTCTGGCAAAACGATTTCAAAGAACCTGTCTTACTGGGCATTTGCTCTGCTGCGGCTCGCAAGGGAGTGAACTTACTGTAATTCAAAGCGTCCATGTCCAAACTTGGACACTCGAGCAAAGCATCAACGCATTTATCGAAGTTCTCGATAAATGCAGCATCAGTGGCCTCCTCACTGCCCGATTCTCCTCCACTCGCAGCAGTGGCCTCCGCACTACCCAATTCCCCTCCACTCGCAGCAGTGGCCTCCGCACTGCCTGATTTCCCTCCATTCGCAGCAGTGGCCTCCGCACTGCCTGATTCCCCTCCACTCGCAGCAGTGGCCTCCGCACTACACAACCCTCCTCCTTTCGCAGCGGTTTCTGCCGCATAAGCCAGCAGGTGGAGGGGGGAATTTCCCTGATCATTGCGTAGGTTGACATTAGCTCCTGCCTTAATAAGTTTAGTGATAGCATCACAATTAAGACCTTCCACCGCTGCATGTAGAGGCGTGTTGCCGTCGTTGTCTGGCGAGTCTAGGACGTCCAGGCCGGAGCGTGCTTCCAGCAGGACCGTCAGGCACTCCGAGGCGGTACTCTCAACAGCCGCATGAAGCGCCGTCTTGTGGTCCTTTAACTCTTGGGGCAGCGCCACCAGCTCCAGCGTCTCGTGATCCAGCAGCTTCCGAAGCTTGTTTGCGTCGTCCTTCTTAATGATCTTAAAAACTTCCTTCCAGTTCGGCCTCTTTGCGTTGCCTGGTACGAGTAAACGGCGTTGACTTTCAATGTCTTCTTCCATAGTGCCTGCAAGAAAAAATGAGTTAATTATATTGGCCGAAACAATTAAATACTTATACTGCAAGGGAAACTGAAATCTCACTTAGCCACGAAAAGGAAAATGTTCTGCTGATCTTAAACTCTGAGCAGACACAGCGGAGATTGATAAAATGTACACATATATATTTTTAATTTATTCTGCTTTGTGTTGATGTATTCTGTCTTGAGTTTGATGTATCCAAGAAATTGTCTTTTCTTTCACACAATATTCCTCATATTATCTTACAACGGAATTTATTGCCAGTTTTATGACGCGTCCGACCCCACCCATTATATTTGCACACTCCACGATTACGTCATTCCTCTGAAGGCAGGCGTCAGCGAATTGCGAACTATCTCATCTGCTAAGATAATAATAGCTTTGCCGTCTGCATATGCGCTTCCCTGTACCATGTCATCAACAGAAGATAACGGACAGTACCATAGCTAGTAAACTTCAATTAACTGTATTAGAATAGAATAGAACAGAATAGAATAGAATAGAAGTGTCGGCACTGAAGAAATAGGCCCATGGCCTGTTGCCGATTCTTGTTCATAGAATATAATAGAAGTGTCGGCACTGAAGAAATAGGCCCATGGCCTGTTGCCGATTCTTGAATTTTTCGTTACTTGATTCACGAGGGATCCAGCCTTTGGAACCCGATCTTTCCATAACTGACGATTCATTGAGATAGCTGCTGGACTTATTGCCTGGTCCGTAATTTGCTAGGCATTTTAAGACTGAACATATGCTCCTGCATTCGAGAAATTCGTTCTTGTTTTAAAGTAAACAGTTAAGAATTTTCTGTCCGATTTTCTGATGACGTATCTTCGAGAGATATTTCCGTAAACCATTTTCTCTTACTCATGGTCCATTATTTTAACCACATTTTGAAACTTTTCGTAATTGCCGGAATAGATCCAGGCTTCTGTGAGAATTTTTCAATCAGAAAAATTTAATTTTCTTATGGGTGATCCGAAATACTCAGATCAGGATCAATGTCTCTCCCTAACATCAGCTGTTTTGATTTCTTATATTACAATTTCCGTTCTCTCCTGGCCCACATAGCGCTGCCTTGCTATTTTGATTTCTTATATTACAATTTCCGTTCTCTCCTGGCCCACATAGCGCTGCCATGTGGCAGCGCCCTAACAGGGCCGTGTTCCGTCCCTCCCAGGCTGTTGGAGTTTTTCTCTATATTAGCCATGGCGCAGCGCTGTTTTGCTTGCAACTGGCCGGTTACTATTTCACGGCTCCGTCCTGCTAAAGCGCGACAGGCTCAGCTAAGCCCTGCGCCGGTGTCGTCTCACAATTTTATCTGGAATGGATCCCTGCGACTGGCGACCGAAATAGGCGCTCACACGGCGACAGGGGGACGCAAGATATTCTCTGTGCCTCGGCGTGTGATAGAATAGAATAGAATAGAAGTGTCGGCGTTGAAGATATAGGCCCATGGCCTGTTGCCGATTCTTGAACTTTTCTTTTCTTGATTCACAAGGGATCCGGCCTTTGGTACCCGATCTTTCCATAGCTGACGATTGATTGAGATAGCTGCTGGACTTATTGCCTGGTCCGTAATTTGCTAGGCATTTTAAGACTGAACATTGCCTTCTCAATTAATCTTTTTCCTCTCTGACCAGCCATCTTGAAATGCAAGAGCTAGATAAACACAAGTTAAAAACCGAAATCAAGTTGAGTAAAAATTGCACAAATTGTTTGATTGTTCAAAATTGTTGGACTTGAGAGCAAGCGGCTTTCAGAGAGCGGCGATCTCAGCTTAGATGTTCATGGGAAGAGCTAGGCTAGGAAGAGGTAGGCGCGAGAACAAAGGCTTATTGTCCCGCGTAGGCCAGGGCGTGAGCGTTACCCTCACGACAACCTCACTGACTCTACAAGTCCGCGTTATTTAAAAATCAAAACACTTTCACTTGTTTGGCTTGTTCATTCTATTTGCACTCTCTTTTTGCTGACTTCACTGAACTGAACTGAAATTCGGTTATTCTCTGGCACGGATAATAAAAAAAAATGCGAATAGAGTTCCGAAAACGGCACAGTAAAAAGTTAAAAATTTAGAAATTCGGGACCACGAGCACGAGCGTCCTCTCTCGACCACGGCTTAACGGAGACTCTTAGTGATGCCGTGCTAAACATCAGTTCATTGGTGAATGTCGAATGATGACCCTCCTTATATGAGTCCAGACGTCACTAGCTTCGAGAGTGTGATTCGTGGCCGCGTCTTAACATAAATAAGGATATATACAATACCCGAGCCTCAATATATCTTAAATTATATGTGTAACGGTATGAATATTGCGATATTTTTTTTATTTGTAGGAGTACCTTTTTGACCACGTGTTATGTTGATAATGTTCTTTTGTTAGATTAGTGACTCAATGTGATTGCATATATTTTTATGACTGTAATATGGAATCTCGTCTGCCTGTGGTGTTTGTAGGATTTAGTTACTGTCTTGAGACGAGACTGAAGATGTAGCTCCAACGTGATTGGCTGAGCCGCTCCTGGCCTCGTAATAACGCGCGCTAGGTAGTCGTGAACGATGGAGATTTTGGTCACTTTATAATTAGTTTAAGATTATTCGACTTTTAACAGTGATTAGTTTGCCAAACGATTAAAAATATGTTAACTTTATTGTAATATATTATATTATCTAATTTTTTGCACTTAGAAAGTGTTTGCAGTCTGTTTTGTACATTGTAAACGGGGTTTTGAGGTAAGCTCATTTTGGCTGAGTTACCCCCTCGTTGTGTGTGCTCAGTGTTACTGGGTTGGGGTGACACGGTTTCGACTCGAATGAGGCAGAGCCAAATTTGGGCTTCCAAGAATAAACTCCACCGTAGTTCTGGGCATAACTCTTAATGAGTTCCACTAACGGACTAATAACGGCATAGGTGGAGTTCGTGGATAGTTCCGGATTTTGGCTGCGTTGGGCGGTTAACAGCCGTTCAATTCGCACCCTCGTGGTAGAGGCTAATAACCTCTGCGCTCGAGTTAATTGGCAGCGGCTTATTGGGGCTAGAACCCTCTAATAGTCGTGCTTTTGAGGCGTAACTGCCACCCCGTCCCTGTGTGGTTGTTGGCATCTCGGTGCGGTTAGTTCCCGTACCATTTGCTGTCCATCTTTGTGATTATTGGCAGTGTATTAGGGCTAGGTTCCCTAGTCTCTGCATCTGGTCGTCGGCATCTCGGTGCGGTTAGTTCCCGTGCCATTTGCTGTTCATCTCCGTGTTCTTGGCAGTGTATTAGGGCTAGAACCCTTAGTCTTTGCGACTGGTCGTTGGCATCTTGGTGCGGTTAGTTCCCGTACCATTTGCTATCCATTTTGTTATTCGCAGCTGTGTATAAGGGTTCATACTGTGTGGTTTCTCAGCTGTTTGTACCCCTGAAATGACAAGCCTTTTTCCGCGAACTTTTGGATTAAGACGAGTAGTAGTAGTAGTAGTAGTAGTAGTAGTAGAATGGTTTGCTAGCGCTTCAGCTATCAAGCTATTTCGCGCCGGAGGTCAAAATGTAACATCGCCAGCAAGGCGGAAGGTATCAATTATTCAAAGTCTCAAATTATTCATCACCCACAAGGAGCGAAAGGTCTCAGTTTTCCAGACCGCTCAAGCTGGCTCGAGAGAAGCAGCGTTAGCATCTCAGAGACGAAGTGACAAGGAGGGACAGGTAAAAAGCAACAGAAACGAAGACACTCGAACAAGAGGTCACTTACACGGGACGTCGGCCGCCCGCACGAGAGAGACAGAGAAGGGGAATGTAAGGAATCCCACCTACATAATAACTTAACCCCACAACTGAGATATGCAGTTAGATACCGCGAGCTCAGCGGTGGGGCGCTCAGGAACAATCCCCTTAGGAGCGCGAAATCCCATAGGACTTCTAACGAGCACAGACACAATCAAAAGTCCCCCCTGAGGGGTGGATTAAGACGAATAATAAATTTTGCGCCTCGCATGAAGAAACTTTTATTTGCCTGAAGATTACCAGTATACTACGAAAAGTTCTTCGTGTACATTACTCCTTCCTACAACGCAAGGGAATTCAGAGCCGGACCAAAGAGCGACTCTTTAGCCCTTGTGTTTCGGACCAGTACGAAAGTCTACACTAAGTCGGCACGCTACCCGTAAATATTTCAACTTCGCGGTGGTGTTTCCGGTTACATATGCAACGGACTGATTTAAAATTCTCGTAGATGTGGTACCAGTTAGGTAACGTTACAGAATAAAAGATTATTTTCGATACAATCTCCGGAAAGCCCAGTGGAATTTAATAGTGTTCTTAAAATTTCTAATCGTTGCAACCTGGTGGAACCTCGCAACCTGGTGGAACCTTGCAACCTGGTGGAACCTTGCAACCTGGTGGAACCTTGAAACCTGGTGGAACCTTGCAACCTGGTGGAACCTTGCAACCTGGTGGAACCTTGC